ATTCATCACAGCCCCTCCGGGGCGCTACTGGGGCTCTCTTTCCTTGTGAATGCATATCACCCTTTGCTTAAACAACTCGAGAAGTTCGCGTTCCGCGAAGCCGTGTGCGACTTTCATGTGTCCATTCTATTCAATTATTATGGTAGTATGATGCAGGTTTATGCCAGTCCCGAAGTAGAAGAGGAGTCTTGGGGTACAAAACCCCACAACGGATACTAGCTTCATCCTGAAGTATAAGTAACGTGCGCCCGACGGATGATTAAGTCAATGAAGTCTGTGCGACCATCCTCCCTCCCCCCAAAAAGGTCGCCATTACTGTAAACCTGCAAGGGAGGCTAAATGAAGACGGGCCGGCTTACGCCGGCACCCACCCACCCCCCCCTAGTGGCGACTCGCTTCGCTCGTCGCATCGCGAGAAAATCGTCCACCATATGACGCTCGTACAATGAGGTAGATCAGATCTTAGCATCACCCTTCGCACTTCAAAGGCTGTCAGACCTCACAGTATAGACTTGCTAACCATAGCAGTTCAAGTTCATGCTGCATGCAACCCTAGGGCTTATTCCGGGGCAAAGAACCGGCTTGGCTGGCGCGCTACTAGGACCGTCCTCATACGATCGCACGCCATTGTCGCAAGCGAACCATTCCCCGCACATCCGAGTTAAGCGCATTCGGTGGGGCTTTACATAGAACTCTCGCAGCGCATGCCATCATCATATGCATAGACATCTTCTTGCGTCCACATCTTCGAGTTCTCGGTCAAGGCGGCTCTCACGGGTTCCTCAGGTCCGAGTTCGCAACTCAACCGCACGTTGAGAACATTTCCACGCTAGAATCGCTCGCATTGAGCTTGTCACGGAAGCACAGCGTTCCTTGCTCGATCTCCAAGTGGCACATGCAGATCTTTCGTGGTCTAACCAGGTGTGCATGTGCTCTGGAAGAGTACACCGCGTCGCTGGATACAAACGAGCACGGGCATTGCCTGTCGTGTAATTGTCTTGAGCGGTTGACCAAAGTCGCCTCAGGGTATGCACGGTTACTGGGCGTGGAAGGGTTGTCAAGAATGACAGCATTGGCTTGGTCGTGCTAGGTATATCTGTTATAACAAACATGGTCAAGAAGGCTTCAAATTAAGCGAGCAGAGATAACTGTACCCGCATTATCGTCTTAAACGCGCTCGCACCGTACGCTCTTATCTGCGTCTGGCAGTTGCTCCTCGGAATCCCATAGTCGTGGGATCCACAATCCCAGTTCCTCCAGCTGCACATCATGCACAAACACCTCTAACACCCAAATCGTCTCCGACTGGAGCACGTGCACCGCCCATTGCATCCCTCGCCAGCCCTCGCCTCGGCCGTACCGAAGCTCGTCGGGTGCCTCTGTATGTCGTGAGATGCATTGAACGAGTAGCATTCTCGAGCTGCAGCGCCGAGGTTGATGGAGCTAAGGTATGATAAACGTGCACGAATGCTGGATTGATACTCGATGTGGTAGGGTGAGGCGAACTAACCTGATAGGAAACTCTCGTTAGCAAGAGTCTAGGTGAGTTCAGAATCTCATCACGCACCAGTCGCTAGACTCGCATGCCTGCTGTGGCCAGGAAGGATTTGAAGGATTTGGGTGCGCGACACTATGAGGGCCATGGTATGACCCTAGGCCTCACGTCCGAGCGAGGGATCCATAGAAGGTGCGCGCGATGGTGGACAATGGGCGGTGTAGACGGCCCTCGCTCGTAAATCAGCGAGGACTACCGGCGGCCTTAAAGTTCGGTGTATATTGTGCTATAGAATGGTGAGTATAGAGTATAAAAGATGTTGAGAACGACGAACGAGCCTGCGCCTTCGCTCCGTGACCGCACCAACTTCCACCAAGTGCATTTCGCGGCATAATTGAGTGTGCTTGCATGGAGATATCATCCGCAAGTGCAGCTGGAACGGCCATCGGCAAGTCATCGAGTTCGTGAGCGTGCCAAAATGCGCGTACAGAAGATCGTATTTGTAGTCTGCACACGATACGGCGTGGGAGGACGAGATGCCATGCAGGTGAGCAGGGAGGCTGAACGTTCGGTTCACGGCGGGCTTGACGGTTGACACGCCCCATGATACAATCCGCGCAAAAGCAATCCGGAAGTCATCGGGTAATCAAGAGTTGAGGAGTGACATCAATGGGGAGAAGGGCTAGGAGGTGAGGGACAAAGACAGGTTGTTCGCCATTGTCGTGGTCGCAAGAGCGAGGTTAGCCCCGTCGCTCGTCGCGCATATTCATTGCGGCCCGAGTGCCGGGCGCAACGCTCACGGTTGTTGCTTCGTCGCTCTTCGTCGTCGCGACTCTTTCTCTCTCGGCGGCCATCTCGGAATAGGACCGAAGCTTGAATTAGAATGGCATAAGATAAGTTGCACTTGGCCTCGCTACTCGACTAACGGACTCGTGCGAGATTTGTGGATGCCGTTCTTCTCGTGTACCTATAAGCCGGGCGTTCCAGCGCTTTTCTCATGTGCGAACGGTACTGCTCGGGTTCTGTTCTATCAAGAGTCACACTG